TCTTGACAGAGCTCCATTAAGTCATCTTATGATGTTTTAGGGGCAGTAACGTGATTTCAAGTCCACATTACCTAAGGCATGCTGAAAGGGCAATTGGTTTGGAGGAAGGAATAGATAAGATAAGTGAGACTCGAACCAATGGCTCTTTGATGTCCATCTTTTACCTGTTCTTCTATCCAGCACCTAGTTTTTATTTTTGGGCAAATATTTAAAGAAATACACAGATTGCACTCATTTGCAGTACTTGTTTTTTCCCCTACACATGAGGAAACAATCTGTTGTTTGTTTTAAAAAATATGTTTATCCCCTAACAAACATACAACCCATTCATAATAGGATAATGGACGATGGTAACAAATGAGAAGATTCACAATGTCAGCATCTCACCCAGAATGTCTGATTAAACAGCAACATCTGCTTGTTAGCCTCGCAGATGGGGGTGCTGCAGCCCCCTCAGCACCCCCCCCCCCCTTCCCGCGTCCATTCGCGATGTCTCGCTGTCTCGCAGATCCCACGCAGCAAGCAGGAAATGAACCCAGCTCACACTGTCCGCTCCTCGCAGCCGCGAGCCGCGCAACGTCCCGCCAACACGGCACCCAGACCCCACGCAGCATTCTCATCTGTTTGTCCTTACTGGTGTCATTTTCTGGTTGCTAACGCCATTGTAACACATAAACACTGATGTTCAGCTGTAACGGTGGTAGACTCATCAGAACATAGTGGGCGAGCTGACCAATCAGAGCACAGTGGGCTCACAGGGAGGGGGGGGGGGGCAGGAGCTCCAACAAGTCGTTTAGGACAGAGAGTGAATACACATACTATACAGAGATGCTGTATGAGAAACCAATGTGAGTTTGGAAAATTGCACAATTTAAATCTATTCTAGTAGACCTCAACAATGGAATTATGATCAGTAGAAATGGCCATGCCATGGGACCTTTAATACTTTACATGATTTCATCTTTCATGAATCTCACTTTAAACACAGTAAATGTTGGATCCTTGAGTTTTGTCTGCACTTACAAGTATGGTTAAATACATCTTTCATGGCAGCCACCAGGAAGAGCCCTTTGCATGTTCAGCCTCCGGACCCCTGACTCTCCTCTCTGAGGTGCCAAGCCGAGCCCCCCCATGACCTCCACCCCACCCAGGCAGCTGAGTAAATCCACAAGGACATTTAAACCTTGAAGGTCAATCCTCCAATCCTGCTTCTCCTCCTATGTCTTCTTCTTCTTATCTCCCCCATTTACTTGCCTTGTCATCCCCTTTTTTCCACCTTATGCTGTGATAGTTAAAACTACGTTTTCCCTCAGAGTGAGAGTGCAGTTTTAAGAAGCGCTTACGACCGTCCTTTAAGGTTAACAGAAGTTTCAGTAAGCATTCTAAAGAAGTCACTCTTTGTGAGCAATCAGGCTTGGGGCGAGCATAAATCCTCTGGGTATAGTGGCGGCATTACAAATACCCAGAGCGCCTGTATGTGCTGATGACTACAAAATTGAAAAAGAAAGGCCCTAATAATTCTGAGGCAAGTTTCCCTCAGCAGTGGGTATTGATTATTTGTGTGTGGTGAGAGATTTGGAAAATTCAATTAAAGGAGTTGTGCAAAGGATTCATAAATTCAGCCCCTCCAACCCGTATCGAGACATGGTTATGTTCTAAATCAATGCTGCACTTCACAATATATTTTCTTAGGAACATAAAAATAAATAACATTTAAACAGTTCTGCTTACCGCAGAAACACATTTTATTTTCTCTAAAGCTTTTTAGTAACAGCAAAGTACTGACTTGTGCACATCTTCAGGGTGGTAACATATTTTTATTGCAGTTTTATCATAAGAAAATCCTATATTATATGAATTTTGAGATGACAAAATGAGGAGAAAGGGGACGGCTCAGCAGTGTAAAAATTGATCAGACCATAGATGGGGGCCACGATGGGGAAGATTTGTATGTCAGCAGTAATGGGCTGTATTAAAAAGATAATTCCTTAAGATGTCATAAAAGTGATGGGGCCGTGTCGCAGGTGGCGGGCCCCCGGCCCAGGCGGCTCCCAGACTCTGGCACATCAATCCTAGCTGGCCTCACGGACAGATGCCACCTACCCACCGGGAGTTTTATGCTTTCTGATTGAACACACGGTTGCAATTAAAGGGGGGAGTTGTATATTAGACTGTTTTGGTCCAAGAGAAGCCGCTGGTCTTCGATCGACACCGTGGGCTGCAGAGTTTGCAATCTTTTCAGGCGTGATTTCTGATTTAGTGATTGCATTTTATTTTGGTGTGCAACAAATCTACTTCCATGTTTCTTTGAAATATTAACATAGCAAGCAAATATATATTTCTTTATAATAAAATGTAGTTGAAGGTTGAATGAAAAACGTATTAGAATTATTAAAGGATGAGATTTAAAGATTGAAGTTAAGTTTCCATTAAATTACTTCTTGCTCAAATTTGTTCAAATCTTTTGGCTTTGCATTTTTTTTTGCACTTACTTGACACTTCTGTTGCCTTAATTATCACTTAAATAATTTACATTAATATTTTTAACTACACACTTTTTATATTATATATATTTTTTGTGTTTTCTGAATATATGTGGTTTCTATATATTTCTGAAGTCCATGATGGGCTATTGTTCATTTTGAATTATTGAATTATTGAATGTATTATCAACACTGGCAGAAATTCATTTCCATGCATCTTGGTTTATGGAAAACATGCCTCGTGTTAACTCTCTTCTTTATGAACATTCAGTCCTGACAGTGATGGCGCTGTGTGTAATATCACTGGGTGCCAGTGGGGTTACAATCATGTTTTCCTCTCCCATATTCCCCAGGTTTTTGTTAGCGAGGCATCTCAGCTGTTGACAGCTAATAGAATTGCTCCTCACCTCTTGTGCGTATGATCCCGCGGAGATAAGGCAGGAAATAAATGTGGAATCTGTGCTGTCAGTTGTGAGGCTGAGATGTCTTGGAATCCGTCATTCATGTGCGGGAGAAGTGTCTGAAATGCTGCGAGCGAATCCTCTGACATGTTAGACCCGGTCTACTACTGCCTGGCAGCTGACAAATGTTGACTCTACATTAACCACAATGCTGCAACGCTGTGCAAATAATGTTCTTTCAGATGGCAAGCCTTATCCCCTTTATGGCTGAAACTATGCGATCCTCCCCACCTGTGCAGTTTAACACCTTTGAAAAGTAAATGTGGGGGGGCAAACAGTCTTGCACAACACAGTAGCCTCTTTATTTGGCAGTGCCTGGGAAGGCCGAGGCCTCTCACTGCCCGAGTCGACCTAAGCAACAGCTGGTGTTCACAGCAACATTTCCTATTTCTGCCTAAGGTGGATCGTGTAACTCTCACTTTATCACCCTTAGAGGCCACGTGAAGGACAAAGCCAGCACGCTCATAAACAAAACTAATGTTTGGATACTGGCCCCTTTGGAGATTGATAGAAGGATCTGTGGTGCTTTTAATGGCCCCCTTACCACCAGATACATCAAAACAATCTCTTAACTATGCCAGCAGTTTTCGCAATAGATTGGGATCCAAAACTGTTACCTCTTCTTATTCCTTCTAGTAAAAATATTAATTATCTGGGGTCTCTTTGGGCTCTATTTTCTTCGTCCTCCATGTAGCCAATAGGGTACAGTATCTACTTCCTGTGCCTGCCTCAAGTCTGAGGGATAAGAGCCAAAGAAACTGGGGAGATGCATCCTGTATAACTAGTCAGAGAGAGGGGGTGACACAAGCCTTATTTTCACTGTGGGAATTTTCTTCCAACATAGGAAACACATTAACTTGATATTTTGATCAGAATATGTTATATATCTGAGTGTCCAATTGCAAACCTAAACCGTCAAATCACCAAATCAGTGTTAGTGCAACCGGACAAAGTGACTTGCTTTATTGCGTGTAATATTGTGAAGGTTTATTATTATTCTTTTATGTGACTAGGAGTTTGTCACATACTACAGTGTATTTCCCTTTGTTGGTCTGGTTATTATATAGGTTTTCCTTAATTGATGTATAATATATTATAATACTATACATGCTTATTCCATTTGCCAATTATATTTTCACAATTGTACAAAGTCTATACCAAATGTCATAAAGTTTCAAATTGCCTAAAGGTTTTTAACTAAAGTGTCATTTTTATCCAATCAATTGATACCCATATATATTACATTAAAATAATTTCAAATCTTCATAATCGTAAAGCCTTAACCAAATCATTTAGAGTTTAGTTTACTCAAATCAGATTTCCAATTCCCCAGAATCATATAAATGAACTGTTATTTTCATTGATTATTAAAATATGTAATCTTTCCATATTTTGCATTTCAGAATGTGGGAAGATGAATTCCCAGTTTTCCTTGCAGCTTCCAAATGTATTGGCATACCTTTACACAAACATGTGTAATAAATGGCAGACCGGCGCCTTTCCCCCTCCTCTAATTGCCCCCCTGTGTCCCTGTCCCGTTGTAGTAACAGTTAACTCAGATCTTGGGCTCCTATTTGTCCCAGCGGCTCATATTGGCAGCCAGCCTAGAGCCTCAGATGCACGGGCAACCCTCACTGACCTGATAACATTTATAGTTGTAATGGATTTTTTTATGCCCGTCATTAACTAGCTCAGAGATTGGAGAAAGAAATTGCTTGTACCTTTCTTTCTGTGGTATTTCAACTTTATGGCATTATGTTCAGATATGTCACCTTCCATCATCTCTTTTTAAGGCCTCTCCCGTCACTGGCTTTGTTTTAAATGAACAGGTCTTTGGTGCAGGACCCTTGAAGTATCTTGGACTTGTAATGAATATTTAATGATGTTGAGTAAAAGCTTTGAAAGATATAATTTCTGTCCAATTATTGGCTCTGTCTCTGCCAGACTGTTAGGGGTGATTTAGCGGACTACTTGGTAAATGTAGACAGTTTATGTGAAGCTGCTCAAAAATTAAATCATTTTAACAATGGGGCAATAAAACGGATGTTCACTTTAGGTCATTGAGAAATTGTATTTATTTTCACAAAAACGAAGTTTGTACAAAAGTACTTCAATGATAGATGAAAATATACAATAGAAAAACCGTAAAGAAAAAGTTCACATGAATAATGTTTAACAGTTCCGGCTAGACCGGAGTCCAGTCGCGCCAGGAATGTGTTTAAATCACAATACCCAGAGGAGAAACTGAGGGTAGACAAAATAAGAGAAACACCTTACAATATCATTAAGGCTAGCAACACCATGGCTTAAAGAGTTACTGGAAAATTAAACACCTTTCCCCATGTTGGTCTTTACACTTACTGAACATTACAACAGGTGTTCCTGTTATTGTGGCCATCCCCGTAGCTTAAGCATCCAGGCACAGAGCTCGCTGGAGTCAAATGGGCTGCACACGGCATGTGGTACTTGATTGATTAGCTAGCAATAGTGTTTAGTCCAATACAAAAAAATATGCAAGAGGTCCGCACAAGGGGGAATCATTTCTTGAATTAATTTGGTCCAAACTGGAAAAATATCACTACCGTCTACTTTGTACTGATATCACAGGTCCTCTGATTTTGTAGCATAGTGATTTTGAAGTCTGCAAAATCCTATTCAGTACCCTTTGTTTCTGGCTACAACAAATGATTATCTCCTTAACAATGTGTTTGCAGATTATCTACTCAATACAATATTTGGTCTATAAAAGTTCAGAAAGCTGTGAAAGTGCCTGTCACAATTTCTTAGAGCTAAAGGTGATGCCATCAAATCTCATTTGTGTCTGAGCAATAGCATCAAACCCCCATAGATATTCAATTTACTATAATACAAGAGGAACTGAAAAACCTCTCATATTTGTCTGGCTGGAAATATAAAATGTTTTGCATTTTTGCTCAAAAATGACTTAATTGATCATCAACATAGGTATCAATAATGTTTCTTATAGACCGATAATTGCAGCTCTACATTAATGCTTCTTCCACAGGGGACATTATGGCACGTTTAAATGCCTCTTAATGTAACACTGGCTTCCCTGAAGCATTTAGCAGCAGTTTGCTAAACGATATGTTGCCATGTACATCACTGCCTTAGGCATCATTCAGTTGTTCTTCTTCTGGCTCTTTCTGCTGGGCGGCTCGCTGAACTGGACAATGTTGAAATATATAAATGTTCCCAAGAAGTGACTAAAAGAAGCGAGAGACACCAGCACAGGAAACAAGTCGGGTAGATGTGGTGGAGGAGCCAGAGCTACAGCAGCAATGCTCAGACCGGCTAACACGGAGACGCTGACGTAGAACTGTAACACAGACAGAGAAACAGCGTGGTTATCAAGCGATTCACATGAAAACAGGGACACAGGATCATAAAGTATGATGACTGCAAAATGAAAGGACTAAAGAACTTCACAAAGTTAGGCTGAAATAACTGGTCAAGAGCTTTTTTAGGAACATTATTTTGACAAAAAGATCTCAAATTCAGGTCTACTCATTGGCTTTTCTTAAATCTTTCAACCACATATAACTGTCATTGCTCAGATATCTTGGAGATGGTTTAGCTTCCACCATGTAACCTTAATATGGCACCTCTGTCACAAGATAAGAGGAAGTGTATATGCACTGGAGACCCCGATGCCCCTTTTTGTGTATTAACTAAATTGATATTCCAAATCCAAAACTGTCGTAAAAATAAAAAAGCCTAGACACCTCAGGGTAAGAGAATACGGTTAGCTTTTCCCTTGATATTAACTGTCACTTTATTTTTTACACCAACCTCTGATTTACTATCACTCTGCAGAATAGCCAATTTAAATTAAGGCCTACTTTTTCCTTGTAACAGAGTTGCAAACAGAACTGAGCCTGAGATTGTTCATGTGTCTATTTGAGCTTTATGAGCCAGAGATAAGTCAGTGACTAAGATGGAGGAAACACCCCATGCCCACACCTCTCCCCGCCACCCTAAACCTATGAAACCTTATCGCCCATCATCTGGGCTCGCTATTTATGCTGCTTGTGTAAATAAATATATCTAGGCAAACCTGTGTTAATGACATGCGCTATAAAAAGACACCTTCTCTTAATCTCTGACACCCTACCGGAGCCCCTGTCGCTAAGGGGCTGGCGGTGCAGCCACTTCAGACGCTGTGGAAACTTAAATAAGTGATAAATAATTCCTGGGGCTGGCAGTGGCTTTCATCCCTGGACAGCTTACACAACTTACAGCGGCACATGATCTTTATTTATACAGTTGGGTATATCTTCTCACACAGCTGCAATTTAGATCTAGTGCTGCTTTCAAAGTACGGGCAACCTGGGATCCTGAAATCAGCCCCTTCTAATTACAAATGCATCAGCTGTGAATCCGCTCCCCCGTGCACAAGCGCAAATATGAACTATAAACTTAATCAAGCAGCAATATCTTCACTTTTTTATTGTTTATTGAGAATGATCTTGGTCAGAATAAAAACCTTTTAAACTTAAAGCCCCTGTATGTAGGATCAGAACATCTGTGATTCTGGTGACTCCTAGTGGTACATTCAACATAGACACTAGTAGAGAGAAACTCATGCCAACTGATCTGTGGTCATACCAACTTTTAACTGGGATTGTCTAATGTTTCAACAAACTCATTGCATAAGATCAGTTTGATGTGATTAACACAATAGATGAAGTCCTACAATACTGCCTTCCCTACCTGTGTTAATGGGTATTAAGTCATTTGCATGTCATTGATTGTATTGGCAGTTAATTAGAACTGCCACAACCACCATGACAGTTGTTACCTCCTCCTGTACAAATCTCTGGGACACTAGATTGCCACCTCTGTAGCTTGACCTACAACATTTACCTGTTACAAACCGGGAAAATACATTTACACGTATTTAATGTAGTCTTTGTCCCCTGAAAGTACAATATTTTGTTGACTTAAGCATGACTGGGGACACACCATTGGGGAAAATTGTGTAATAACTTATTTTTCCCTACTAAATATATCTTCTACATTTGTAAACGAAGCAATGCTACTCAGATTGTTCAAGATATATAATTGTTCCACATGAACAGAATCAGTGATGATGCAGTGTTTGTCATTACACCGGGGGGGGCTTGCACCATACTGACCTTCCATCTTACAATCCATGCTAGGTCCAGTTTGGGTAGGCAGAACAGCAGCTTGTGGTAGGCTCCCAGTCTCAGCTCTTCCTCTGAGCAGCGCTCCAGTGCAGACAGCAGATATATGCTGAAGTACAGGAAGCCCAGCGAGGTCACAACAAAGGGCACCAGCAGACCGTCCTTCAGGAACAGAGGCAGCATGCTGCACAGAGGGACAATGGTGCATTTCAAGTTTAGAACGTCTGGAGTTATGTACAATGACTCTGAAAAGTAGGCAAGCAAAGTGAAGCTTTGATATACACTTCTACAATGGTATATTCAAGTAATTTGTTTACTTCCAGCAGTACATCACTATGTTCAGTATCATGTTTGCTTCGAAAAGGGCAAGAGTAAACCACATAGCTTTTTTCCAGCAGGCCTGCAAAAACAGTCCGTCTCCTGGGATGAGATGGCTCTGACATTCGTGCAAAGCTTATCTTAGTTTAGCAGAAGGGCACGGACAAGAACAACAGTTGTCTTATAGTACATCGCACATCACCCTGGCTTGTAAAAACCCATTCACTGAAAACAAACTGCTCATTCTGGTTTTTACTACGACAAAAGAAATGGCACCATTCATCAGATAAATGTTTAACAATTTGGAAATACATACTTGGTCAATTTATTGAGACAAGCTGCATTATTTCCTCTTAAAATTGCTATAGCTGAACATCCATTAAGCCAATTACGCCAACAAAAGCTGTATTTCTTTAAATGGAGTCTGTAGAGGATGTGGATAATGTGAAAGTCCCAGTCAGACAGAATGACCTCCTGTCCCTACACAACGCACACTTAGAAGGCAGGCATGCAGACTATGCCGTGTAATCCCCAGATATCCTTATACTAAACCACACACACAACAATTAGTGCTGCCGGAAGAATTTAACAACAGCTGGTGAAAGTTAGACAGAGCATTTGCAGCACTACTTGGCTTTTCCATTCACGGTCCTCAGCTCAACCCACACAGTAGATCAATATCGCTTTTCAAGCTTATTTCTACGGTGTTCTTCATTTGATATTTGACACTAGTGAGAAATAAAGAGAGATGTAAGACTCCATCCGTAAACATTACAGTTATGTGGAACCAGACTACTTCGCTGCCAGGACATCCCAAAGTCCAACCACATAACTTTTGCTGAACAATGAACACTGGGGCTTCAAGTCACAGGGACAGTATTGAATAAGGGTCAATTAGAAAAAAATGTAATGTAACATTGGCACATTTAAAGATTTATAGAATTACTGACCTTACTCAGTGGTGTCAATTATAAAGCAATATGTAGCTTAAAGGTGGGGTAGGTAAGTTTGAGAAACCGGCTCGAGATACACTTTTTGTTATATTCCATGGAATGCTCTTAACATCCCGATAGCAATGAATATCTTAAGTGCTTTGACAAAAAATCCATAAACAAATGTCATCTGTGGAAGCCGTAATACTGTAAAAAGCACGACCAATTATTTTAGCCGGCCCTGCTAAAATAACTGGATGGCCTACCTGCCTGTCAGCCTTCCATCTGTGCACAAACTTATCTCGTGCCCTCATTGGTCATGTGCGCGTTCGTGTGTGTTGGAGGAGGGGCTCTATAAGGAAGTGGCAGATTTTCTCCGGTTGTGTATTTTCAAATTCTAGCGATCTCGAGCCGGTTTCTCAAACTTACCTACCCTACCTTTAATTGAGCAAACATTAGCTAAAAAAGTTGTGCAAGCTCCAATAAAACAAATTCTGCCTTTTGACAGTACTTTTCTTCTTAAATATTTGTATCTTCACATAAACAACAACAAACAAACCTGGTATTTAGCTAACTCTAAAAGGTGATAGACATTTGTTGTTACCTTTGGACAGATTCAGGAAAACCGTTTCCCTTTGCTAACCTGGTGATGCTAATCTAACCAGCAATGGCTTCTTTATGGATTATAAAAATAACAACAACATATACATCATATAAAACATCTTTATTAATGGCTTGAAATAAAGGTAAACACTAATTAGGTTTGTAAAGGTCCAATGCAAAAGCACAACATATTAAATGTTCATTCTTTTAGCTTATGCAAGGTTTAAAAGCTCCGTAAATGACCTCTGATTTAAAGAATAGACAATAATTAGAGCCAGCTTGAATCCATCTACTACCTATCGTGTGTAGACCATGTGTCGTGCTTTGACAGGAGGCTTTCCTCCACACAGTCTTACCTGAATGTAGAGGCATGCAGGAACCAAATAGCCATCAAGGGGAGGTCATTCAGCAGGAGGCAGGCAGGCCTAGAACAGATAACGGTTGCATAAACTCCCTGTTGAACACACTCTGCAGTAAGCACCATTTCATATCATTTTACAGTTAGACAGGAAGTTAGGCCATGTTAGGTCGCAGCTGGATGTGAACCGATGTCATGCGTGTATAATATTAAAAATCCACATTAATCCATTATTCACAGTCACAAGGCAGTCAAGTGTTGGTTGTAGCACAATTATGTTTATCTGTAAATGCTTTTTTACTGAATCTGCACTGGCATGTATGTTTATACAAAAATACAACTTAATTACTTATAACATTTCAACATGAAATACCTCAAATGAGTTGCAAAGAAATTGAAGTTATCTCTTCTGGGCACATATATATGTGTCTGTGTAGCAAAGGCCTGTTGTGTGTTGAACCTGGTTGCCTGCGTCATTGTGAGCCAGTGCTAGCTGAACACTGTGCTCCGAGGGGGGCACTTTCCTCCGGCCCCTGAGCCCATAATTACAGCCAGTGCTCTTTGGCGATCCTGTTACAGCCCAATAATTGATCCTGCGCAAACAACGCCCTGAGCTGCTGCCTGCCATTCTTTCCTAATCCCTGGACATGCATTACTGATTGATTCAGGGGGACAGGTGGGAGATATAACTCAATAGTTAATAAAGAAACAATCTACCCTAATCTAGATTAATAGATGAGATCAGATCATGGAACCAAATCCCTTTCTCAAGTCAAATCTATGCCACTTCACTCTGTACCTACACAGCTTTAAACATATGTGGGTACATTTTAATGAATCGCACACATGCACATCTTTATGCTCATGTATGAAAGCAGTGCTTTTACTCACATTAACGACAATGGAAGCTGAGAGGCTGCTTTTGTGTCTGTGTGGTGCAGAGTATGATGACAGAGGTGAGTAAGCCCTCAGTAGCAAGTCTGTACTTAAATAGATTTTTCCTCTGCAACTGTGTGAGAACAGAAGGAGGGCGATGTCATTTTTACAAAGTGCGCACGTCTTCAACTCATTAACAATCTGCAGGACATAAACTGAGATCTGAAGCGGGGTAACAGGCGAATGGCTCCTTGTGAGCAGAAATTAAATCTATACTCATGAATATTTGAGGTATCGCTACAAGATAGAAAAAGTACAATTACTGTTTGTTACCACAGCTGCTGTGCTGTTGCATGTGGTAACATATAACCTCTGTACTTACAAAGCAGCTAAGAGGATAGACTTCTCGTGGACTTGATAGGAGAAGAGGAAGAACGCCAGAGAGGAATTAGCCTAAAAGAGAAAATCCGAGGGTGTTGGTACAAAAACGACTGTTAATGAACAATAATACAGCAAAGCTTACTTTTTAATAAAGGCAGTGAAGGTAAGAAAACAAATTATGGATAAAAGGAGGTATCAATTAACTTTATGTAGTAATTATTATAAAGGAGATGAAGTGCAGAAAGTCCTAAACTTGTAATAATTAAATTACTAATATTGTAGCCTCTATTTGACCATTAAATAAACAGTTTGAGGACATGCGTTTTGACGTCAGTTAGATGTCACTCACCAATGCCAGTTTAAACTGCCAGAAGGTGGGCTTCGTCAGAAGTCTTACGCAGGAAGGCAAGACCGCCAGAAGAGTGCAGGCAAAACTGAAAAACATTACAAACAATGGTTCAGATTAAATCACATCAGCACTGTTAAAACATGCATAACGTTTAAACACATCTGAAGACCCACAGAGGGAGATTAAGTCTCTTCAGCAAGAAAAACTAATTGTTCAACAGAAGACATGTAGAGTATTTCATCGAATTGCTGTCAATATGAATTGCATTTTCACATAATTCCAGGCTTACACAAATTATACATCTTTCTTTTGTTTAGTTTTTTTGACGTTGCTGATAATGTTCAGAGAACTGAAAAATAAACCTCTATTTTGCCAGAATGATAAAACACACAATTTGTTTTCACTCAGTGGCACTAGATCAGGGGTGGGGAACCTCCGGCTTCCAGGCCGTATACGGTCCGCGAGACCATTTGATACGGCCCTCGAGGTAATTTACAAACACACGCAAAAACTAAAGAAATTAAAGAAATCTAGACCGCAAAATAATTAAACAGTGCCAGTTTTTGGTATATGTCTTGTCAGGGGTGTAGTGCTGACGGAGAGCACCGAAACGCCGCTCCTGTACTTCAAATTGTAGTAGGGGCCTACAGAGGTTCTTATTATACAGTTGAGGCCTAAATTATTAGCCCCCCAGGAGTTATGGAACATTTTCCTAAAATTCTTCCCAATGTTTCCAGCATTGATATAATCAAACATTCACCAGTGCTATTTAGTAGCTTTTGGTACATTTTGGAAAATAAAATGTAGTTTTTAGGCTTGCTTTATATCAAATATAGTGAAAAATGGGTTGGTCAAAAATATTAGCCCCCATGTGAATTTTTGCTTTCAAAACACACCTAATCAATCAATCAGCTTTCAAACCACACCTAATCAACCAATCAGCTTTCAAGCCACACCTGAGCATTCAATCAGCATAAAAGGACTCCAAGAAACAGGCACTTGAATACCTTATTGGGAGGGACTATACTCAGGGTTCTTACACCTTTTCCAAAGTCAAATTCAAGCACTTTTCAAGCATTTTCAAGGTGCATTTTCAAGCTTTTCAAGCATCTTACAGCTGTTGTAAATTACATATTTATATACACATACTTAAACTCAAATGATTATTTCCCTACCTCACATTAAATCAGATGTTCTTTATGCTATAAACAACCAAATGTGTGTTTCATAATAGCATTCTACATGAGGATGAAAAATTAAACATTTTAGAAAAGAAAACTAAGTTTAATATTAACACGCCAGACTAGTGAAGCCATTTTGGCGAGCTTGTTTTGCCGCGCACAGAGAAAAGTGTCATGTATTTTACATGCAACGATAGCCTAATCTAAAATGCTCTATACGGCGTACCTTTCGTGTGGTGTGTGGCTCGTCAGCGCAGACTCTCGCATCGTTATTGTTGCACACTTTGCAGGAGGCTACTCTTGGGCTTCGCTTGACCCTCGTCTTAGCCATGGCTTGTATTTGTCTTCTGCTAGCCAACGCTCGTTGAAACGGCAACCTCCTGGCATACTGTCATCTATCACTCTCATCAGAATGCCCAGGTCACACACGTAACACAAACACTTGCCGGTCACGCGCATTGCGCGGGAAGGCCGGAGCGGAGCTGTTTTATGTAAAAGCGAAGCAATTAAGCGCGCTCCGACTTCTTTATTTTCTTTTAATCAAAAAAGCGAAGTAAAGCATTTACAATTTCAAGCACTTTATCCCAAATTCAAGCACCATTCCCAAAATTCAAGCACTTTTCAAACCTTGAAAACACCTCGTACAATTTCAAGCATTTTCAAGGATTTCCAGCACCCGTACGCACCCTGTATACTACTCACCATGCCAAAGACAAAGGAAATCAGTCTTGAGCTCAGAAAGAAGATAGTGGAGGCTCATGATAAGGGGGAAGGCTATACTGCTATTTCCAAGCGCTTCACAATGTCTAGAACTGCTGTACGTTGCATCATTGCGAAGTACAAGGAGACAAATTCTGTAAGAAACAACCTAGGCGTAGTCGAAAGCGCAAGATTTCAAGAACTCTGGAGAGGAAAATAGTCAGAGATGTCAGCAAGAATCCCCGGACATCTGCCAAGATGATTGTTGCTGACCTGGCCTCTTCTGGAGTTGATGTTTCAAGGAACACAGTTGTGAGGGCTCTTCATCGTGGTGGGCTTCAGGGCCATCGTCCCAGAAGAACCCCTTTACTCAAAGAGTGGCACATCAGAGCCAGACTGAGGTTTGCCCGTGAACATTTGAAAGGTAAAGATGAGTTTTGTAAGTCTGTGCTTTGGTCTGATGAGACTAAACTGGAACTGTTTGGGCACATGGATGTTGCTTATGTTTGGCGAAGAAAGGGAGAGGCCTTCAACCCTAAGAACACATCATGCTGTGGGGCTGTTTTGCAGCCTCAGGCACAGGGAGCCTTGTTCGGGTACAAGGCATCATGAAAAATTAAAATTATGTTGACATTTTGAGGGATAATATGAAAAGATCTGCTCTTAGTCTTCGCTTAGGTCGTCGCTGGGTCTTCCAACAAGACAATGACCCAAAGCACACATCAAAATTGGTCCAACAGTTCCTAAAGGACACCAAAACCAAGGTGCTGGAGTGGCTCGCACATAGCCCAGGGGCCTCATTTATAACGCCTTGCGTAGGATTGACGTGAGAAGGTTGCTTACGTAGTACAAAGCAAAAAAATAGGTACAGAAATGTTCCGACATTTTCCGATTCACAAAACATTGCGTACCGGCGAGGGAAGTGGGTACCGGCACTTCCTACGCCTGTTTCCCTTTATAAATCACAATCGACTCGAAATGCGGCGCAGCTTTTGCAGGCTTCACGTATATGACCTATAAATAGTCAAAGAAACGCCCATTCATTCATTCATTTTTGACTGACTGCATGAAGAAGATCGCAGGAAATTACGACCGAACAGCTAAAAAAGACATCTCACACCGTGTCAGATTTTGGGGAGGTCGAGATAAATCATATTGTTTGGTGGATGCAGTTTGAACCAGAGTAGCAGCATGGAGGTCGGATCGTCACCAAAATAAATAAATAAGTGGTCAGAAAAAAGTTAATGACAAAAAAAATACACAAAACCTTCCTCAGGCAGTGTGTTTGTCCCGGGGACAGGAGACACCCCCTTGATGAGAAACTGTAAGAAATGATCGGGGAATCCCTCCGGAGTGGAGTCATGACGACTGGATCTGAATTATTTTGTTGTATTTGGTGGTTTGTGTTCCAGCTGTCTATCAGCAACTATATATCCATAATCCACCAGTTAAAGGAAATACAACTAATGTGTTGTGTTATATTAGCTGTACAATTTACCACATATGGTGTTCTTAGTTTCCATACCTCCTGTGTTTTACGAGCGACTTGTCAAGTCTTCGCAAACGGCATAAAACACGATTAAACGTGATAGTATATAAAACCATGCTCGTATCTACAACCTATAGAAATGCAAAACGGCGTCAGTTTAGACGTTATTCATGTCCTCCTGCTTACCGCATCATTTATGAGAAAACATTTCATAACATTAACACAACATATTCGAGGTGGTTTTAAATAACATATCCGTATTTATTTATTTCTCCAAGTTATGTTTTTGTGTGCACTCAGGAGTCTCAAACAGGCGTTTGTTTAATCATTTTAAGATTGGCTTTAATCAATGTTTGAAAATTAATTCTTCATATGATAAATGAGAGGTAACATTTTATTTATTTCCACATATTTCTCTCCATTCTTCCTTCTGCCAACGGTGTCACAGTTTCTCGTCTCTCCCGTTGTTGTGCTTAGTGCGTACGCATGGGTTAGAGTTTGCGTGGAGGACCGCACATTTTCCCGTCAAGTTAGTATTTTATAAATCGCAAACATTGCTTAGAAACTGGCGTACGCCATTTTTTGAGCGTATATCCCTTTATAAATGAGGCCCCAGATCTTAATCCTATTGAGAATCTGTGGCGGGTGCTCAAAGTGAATGTCCATGCTCGGAAACCACGCAATTTGGACCAGCTGGAACAATTTGCAATGGAAGAATGGGCCATAATCCCTCAAGAGACCTGTGCCAACCTAGTAAAGAACTACTCTAATGGCGCATTTCCACCACACGGTCGGCCTCGGCCACGCTCGGTACTGCTTGGCCGCGTTGGGCCTTAACAGGGCCGGCTCACTTCATGCTGCGCTTCCATTACAGTTTAGGAACTGGGGTAGTTACTATAGTAACGCAGTGTAGGCGGAGCCGTGACGTCATCTTCACTGAGAACCCCAGAAAAACAACACAGCCGTTAGCTGTTAGCACTCAGAGCTCACAGCTCCTTATATATGTTCAGAAACTCGACAAAAGTTAAACAAGTACACACCACAGACTGCTTGTGTCATGGTGAATACAGTCGCTGCTTTATTTATGTCTGTATAGGCCGTTGTTGTGAGTGTGGACGGTCGGAGCATATACTGCGTTAGCTTAGCCAATCTCCATCTAGAAAACACGCATTTTAAAAGGTTTTTCGCCTGCCGTCTGTCTGCAGACTTGACAAAGCATTAATTCATGGTTTTTACTAACCGGTATCAGTATGTTGTTACTTCGGCATCATTTTGAAACGTGTATTACAATTAAATCACGGTCAAATATGTCCATCTTGTTGTAGTTGTAGCCCCCTTGCCAGCAATCCTCTCTATAGTTTAGCATACTCAGCCCGACTCAGCCCTGTTTGTTGGCCCCGATAGAACCACAATTTTGTCGGGCCAGAAAAGAGGTGAAAAAGTGGCCCCGGGCCGGGCCGGGCCGTAACTAGGCCTAGTGGAAGTGCAACCAAAAACGGGCACGGCACGACACGGCACGCTTAAACCGCGCTCCAAGCCATGGTGGAAATGCGCCATAAGAGGTTGTTGTCAGTTGTGGCTCAGAAAGGGTACACTATTGACTATTTCACTATATTTGATATAAAGCAAGCCTAAAAACGTATTTTATTTTCCAAAATATACCAAAAGCTACTAAATAGCACTGGTGAATGTTTAATTATATCAAGTTTTATCAATGCTGGAAACATTGGGAAGAATTTTAGGAAAATGTTCCATAACTCCTGGGGGGCTAATAATTTAGGCCTCAACTGTACATCCATGATAAGGAGCCGTACACATGCTGCAGTTTTTGCGTGGCTGTGTCTTTAGTTGAAAGCCCAGTGGCGATCTGTTCATCTGTCATACTGATCATACAGTCAATAACGCCATCGAAAAGAATATGATACATTACAGTACAAGTACTTCTGGGTCTTTGTGAGAGAGAGAGAGCGGTACCGGGGAAATTAGCATCTGGTTAGCTAGCTATGCTAACGAATATAAGGAGCTTTTTCTACAACCAGGTGAGTCATGCACTAGAGCTCTCTAGTCCTGACAGACTGATAACCTCAGCTCAGTGAGGTAAAGGCACACCTTTATGATCATTATAGTTATAAAAAAATAAGAGAATAAATGAAAAACAGGTATAAAATACTATATTGCAGTAAAAAAAAGTTGTTATTAATAAACAAGAATACAGTTTAAAAGGGGAGTGATTTGTAAAATATCCATAAAGAAAAAGAAAATCTGCTTACAGTTCTGTTTCATATGGGTGTTGAGAGATATATCCATAGATCTCTTAATTTTGCTCTCTAAGTGCACCAGACTGATGCATTTAACTTCAACATTTAAAAAAAATTCTTCCCGGGGGAGCATGCCCCGGACCCCCCTAGAGGAAGTTAGGTCCACCCCCCACTTAAATCATGCGGTCCATATCTCATTAAAATATCTAATGTTAGTAACTATTAAAGAAAAAATGGGGACAATCCTGTTTTAATGTAGTTTGACCATTGTAACTTCTGTGCAGACATACTGATAAAATAGGGCTTCTAACTAATTACCTTAAATAAAATCACTAATTAATGAAACCAGTTCAATACGCATTATTCTTATTCTTATCATTCTTTATGAGCGCAGTAATGGTAAGGTATCTAATTACTTATTTATTTAGTATTCCATAACTTAATAACAGAGATGGTCAAACTAAAGTAGAGACATGGCAGAAATCCTACAATGAAGCGGGACAGTGAACTGTTCTCCTGTATGTGAGAGGGCGATGAAGAAAAGAGAGCGAGCGGCCCCGTCGAGGGAGTTTACGGAGCAGAGTAAAAGACACAGAAAGACAGAAGCACAATAAAAAGTATATTTAGGTGTTTTTTTTGTAAATAACCGACGTTGTCAAGAGGAAGTAAAGTCCCCTGGTTTGTCCCTTATACTCTAACGCCAGGCAGGCATTTGGTGTGATCACCATAGCCATCTGAGGCCGAAGGGCTTTCCTTTGCTTCCAGCTGTCAGATTGTAAACAAAGTCACGTGACTGGGGGCAGATGACAGCGCTGACAAGGTGTGTTTCCCGCAGCGAGACGCTACAATACTAATTGTGGGCTTATCATGTTGATTCGGCCACAATAGAAAACAAAAAAAAACTCTCGCTCTGTCCAGAGGGGCAGGTCAGACAAAAATGGCAAACGGGCTGTTGCCCGGGCAACATTAGCCCGTACCTGTGCACGTCCCTGTTCACATGGATGGGACGCAAAATATATTGACACACATCTTGTGTCCATATCTTTCTGTTTTGGCGGTCATGCCACAACCGTGCACATGCATGCGCGAGTCATGGTAAAATATCTGGATTAAGAGGTTGCTTTTTCTTTGCACAGCATGAAAGAAAGGTGAAATGAATGGGCTGTGATTTTAGTTTTTTTTAAGCAGAGGTTGAGTTCAATAATTTGTACGGCCCTCGGAGGATGTTGTAAAAATTGAAATGGCACTTGAGAGGAAAAAGGTTCCCCACCCCTGCACTAGATGATCTGGTTTTGAGGTCAAAAGCAAACAACCAACAGGACGAACCAGAATCCAACTGAAGATCCATCTCGCTGGTTTTTTTTAGATACCGCCTGCTCTACCAACTAAGACTTCCGCTATGTAGGAAATGACCAAATACTGGCCCCTTCTCAGGGTTAGCAGGCATTAGTTTAACCCTTCAATTGTCACCTGCTGGGGGTGGAGGCACCGGAAGAGAGTGACTATGTGTGTGAATGTGCTGAGAGGTCGGGCAGCGAGTCAGTTCAAGGCGTGAGGGCAACAATGTGTTTTACTAGGAAATAGATAGATGGACAGAGATAATGATAGTGGTAGATGGAGAGTAGTGAAGGAGCAGTAAGTGGCTATTTAGTGCGTGTGGCAGCGGGTGTGTTATGTGCTGGGCAGGGTTCTGCGGTCCGGAAGGACATGGATCACTTTTCACAGCTGATTCATTCTATGTACACAGCACGCCCACGCCAGAGCGTTAAGCAATTTGCCCCCGTGCCAAAAAGACAAGAGTGTTTTTCATTTGTTTGAAATGCACTTCACTCAAGAAGTCCAACTTGATCCCCGGACTTAGCAGTCTGGCAGAAACGTGTCCACGATGCGAACACAAGACTTCTAAATTTAGCATGCTGTGTTATTTAAGCAGGCTCCACCATGACACAACTGTTTTCCCATTGTGATCCAACAGGTTCTCAGCTTTTAGTCAAAATAGATAATCCTAATACTTCCCTTGGATGCTCTGTGGGGTAGTGTGGAGAGAAACTCAAGTTAAATGTAATGAGCACTCAGTGTTCAAACCGCTGTCTCCCCTGATATCATGATAATCATCTAATAAAACACATAATCTGTAACATTTTTGAAAAGAAAGATTTCCATAGCCCCCCGGGCAGTTCAACATCTCGTCAAAACATTTCAAAGACAGCCGTGACATTAGACTTTCCTCTCAAGATCTTTCCTTAAGGGATGTTCTTACTTCCACCCCGCTGTATCACACTTTTCATTCCCTTGGGCAAGCCTTGCTTTCCCAATAAATGAAAGAAGCAAAAACTAGGTACAGAAGAAGAAGAGACACAACGATTCAGCAAAAGATAGGGGAGTAGAAGTGGAATCTTGTTTGACAGACAGAGGGATTACCTGAGGTGCATCTGGGAGTCACTGGACAGAATGGATCTGATCTTTATCAGGACGTTCAAGCTGCACCATGTGTTGGCCACCTTATCCTGTACACACACAAACAAACAAACATTTTTAAATCAAACACATTCCTTGATGCCTGTGTAAATAACTCATTTAGAGTTCCATTTTGAAGAGCAAATAGGTGACATGGCTTTAAGTAATCATTTCCCAACTGAAAGTGCAATAAAAATACCCCAGGGCATTCCAGAGGGGCATAAGTACGTAACCCTCCTCCATAAATTGACTCCCCTGTCAGAAAAAGCATGGGACTTATTTGTAAACTTGGGCACACAGGTCAAATGTCAAACCAAAGTAGTTTTTGCATAACCAGCAGATACATACCAACCACAGACAACTAATGAAACATACAAGCAATCTGTTTTTAAATTTAAACACATTTATTTTTTTGTAAATGTTTACGACAAATTCACAGATCTAGCACCTCAATTTTTAACCTACATATTTATTTTAAATGATATGAAACAAAAAGTAGAACAAAATCACATGTGGAGAGGGTGGTATTTTTGTAAGACTAAAATGATAAATACATTTTCTAAATACTTGCTGATAAATGTTATGTCTATGAACAAATTCATTAATTAACTAACCATTGAAGCTCCAAAGAAAAATGTCATTGCTTTTTCTCTCATGTCATACTGTATCAATCAATGTTGTGTTGTTTGTGTAGATAACTTGTAAAATGATATCTAAATAATATGGAAGCTATGTTACAGCCCAGGCTAAAAGTATTTGTGGTTTATACGACATGAGCAGGGCGTTGCTGTGAGATTCAGTCGATTTAAGTGCTTAAGCAGTTGTGCGGGGATCAGATGATATTGAAGCCCGAGCCGCCACTGTGCACTATGATATCACACGTCACAGAGACAGCGTGCCGAGATCATCTTTATGATTCCTTAGTGAGTGGTTTCAGTGTGGCCCAGTCTAGAGAAACTATTTCTGGCCTCCTCTCTCTGCTCTGTGCTACAGCTGCTCGCAGCACAGCTGTGTGGATCTTAATGGCAGCATAGTCAGCAGCATGGGCCGTCCAGCGTTTGTGTTGTCTAAGCCCCTTTCTCCCTTCCTCTTTTCCTCCCCGCTCCAAATAACCACTATGGGAATTTTCCTGGAAGCAGCCGAAAGGCAACATATGAACAGCAGGGGGTTCCATCGGCAAATGAAAGGGGAGCAAGAGCAGCGCGGCACCTTCACCTATAAGCCAGCATGGAATTTCACAGGGAGAAGCATTTGGTGCCATTTTTGTGAGCAGGCAGCAACGTGAGACGCCAGAATGCAGCTCAGTGGGTAAACTTACAACTGCTCCCGCCCAGAAGCTGCCACGACCACCAGTCACCAGCACCCCCTTCCCCACCACCCTCCTTCTCACCCCTGTCCCCTTGTCCAAAGCTTCTGCTTACGTGCACAATTTCACAATTAGTTCAGGACGACGCGACCCCCACAGCCTCTCATGCTGTCGTCACAGGAGAGGATAGTGTCTCTCACACCCTGTGTATTATGTTTGCATCATTTCGTTGAACAAATACTGCCACAGCGCACACTGCCATCTGCTCCCCTGTTAAAAATGTTCAATTACTTCTCACATCCGCGAGACCTTGTGGTGGGTGCCACCTCAGGGACCGGGACAAGATGAAGGATACGGGGGTTTTAGAAATGAGAGCTGCAAAAACCTTGGCCTCTGAGCTGTCAGTCACACAGCAAGCACAGAAACACAGTTACTTTAGCTCTGCTCCTTCAGTGACAGCTTTCAACGCTGCCAGCTGAAGTCTTTGGAGTACTCTCTGTAAACTATCGCACTATTATTTTAACTTAATATCATAGTGCTGTGCCTCTTTGTCTCTCAGAGGCAATTACTGACTTACCACAGCATACAAATGTGTGTGTGTGAGTATGTGCATGCTATGAAACAGTCCATCATACTTATATGCTTTCCCAAGATAAAGTCGGTAGCAGGCAACAGTTGTCGGATGTGCTCCGATACGGCTTTAAATGTAGCATTTGCCCCACTCATCAGTTCATACGGCTAGAACATGGCTCTGCTATGAAGTGCTGAAAACACCCAGGCCATAAATTAGTAAGATTTATCTATATCCTCCTACTGTAGGTCCCGGACCCCAACACCTCCCAGAGATAGAGTGACACTGATCTCCTGACCTTTCCCCGTTTTATTCCTCTGTTTTCTTTGATCCTACAGGATATCCATTTCCCGCCGGCTAAGCACTGCGGGGTGGAAGGGTGTTCACCATGCTGGGTGTATGGAGCCGTGTGTAGGGCATGACCGGTGTTTGACTTTCATGCACTGGTCACAGCCTTGTGCTTCCATTTATCCCTTAAGGACTATATGAAAATATTAAGAGAGTGAGGAGTTGGGTGAATATCCAATATTATTTATTATGTCCAAGAAGACATTTTCTATAGCCTAAAAATACCAAAATAATATATTTGTACAACAACCACAGAAGATTCTTGAAATACGCCCCTTTATAAAAGAGCTAATGAAACAGTTATAATGAGTTTACGTAGAGGTAAGAAAAAGACCCCTTATTTGCTCTCCCAGAAACATCAGACTTCTCTCTTCTAAAAAAAGAAATCACCCTCCACATGACTGACCATTCATTTGATGTTTGGGTACCACTTTACAATAAGACTACCCTTATAAAGGATTCATTAAGGGTTTATAATTAGGTTATTAATTAGGTTGTAAACACTTTATTAATCATTAAGAACCATTTATAAACCAGTTCTAACATAGTTTTCATACATCAACACAGGCTCACTATTTGGCAAGATGACTAAGCCTTATATTGGCTACCTAGCTTACTTCGTCTTCTTCATCAGCCAGCATCCTTGGTATCTGTTGTTCACTGAGTTGATTCCCCCCCCTTCCATCTTGATGTTTCTTGGCATCTCTTTATCACCATTTATGTATGAGTTACTAACATTTATAACTGCCAAAAGGGAACGTTATTGTAAAGTGTAAAACACATTCCCATTTATTAATGAGTTACTACCATTTCTAATAAGGCTTAGCAGTACAGATAAATGTGAGCTCACTATTTGGCAAGCAACCGGTCACAGTTGCCCTGTTTATCTCATGTCTTATAAAAGCGTATTAATGATTTATAAAGTGTTCACAACTTAATTAATTAATTAATTACAAACTATTCGTAAACCGTTTATAAGGGTAGTCTTATTGTAAAGTGGTACCGATGTTTGAGTAAAACTACTGTCTTCTGTTCATTACACTTAGTTAGAATATGTCCATAATTCTCTGATAGAGCCTGTTTGCTGATTGCTGACTTTTTTTATGCTATTGGATTTTTGGAGGAATTTCAGGACACATCACATTTACTCAGAAATTGCTGAACTTCCTTGGGATACACGTTCTCATGCATACATTGGAACAGGGTAGTGACGAGGTTAAACATCTGCACCAGCTCAAGGACAACTTCAAAGAGAACTGCCACAGGAAATGTTCATGTGACCTGTGTGGATTATCTTATCTTAAGATAAAAGAAGGGATATTATCCTCCTCCACTTGTGTTTTTAAAATATATTTTGGGGTTGTCGGTGGCTATTCTTAGATAGCTTGCATGACAAGAGTACAAATGCTTTTTTTGATAAAACTAAGAGTCTCAAAGGCATGATCGAGCTTCTCAGATGTGGTTTTCCAGGCTGACTTTTCACTGAAAAAACACTACTGTACCTCAAACAGACCGCGGGCCACGGGAAAGATCCTCCTGACCACCTGCATGGCCTGACCGGGGTCAGACAGGAAGGGCAGCCAGCACAGGGCAAAAGTCACCAACACTGTCAAAGCAATTCTCACCAACAGGAAAAGCCTAGGGGAGGGGGGGGGGGGTCAGAAGGTACAGAGATAAAATGAAAACATAGGCACAACATTTTGACATTGTTTGTTAGAGTAATTTACTCAAAAATACAAATGTTGACATTGGCGAGTAGCTTAAGTTTGTCATCATTTATTGCCATTCCTCAAACAATTAGAACATGCAAGTCCTAAATTTGGGATTTGACCCTTGTGATGAGGAATGCAGTGAAAGCAATGCATCAGCTGAGAGTCTCCTGTGTAGGTCAGACTATCTCGTCAGCTGTAACTGTGAAGCTGCTGGTTAAGTTGCACACGCGGCATAGCTGAGGAGTTTGGGCATGGCGAGAGAGACATCTGGACATATCTCCTCCCCAGCACCCCCGGCTCTTCTAATCCAGCTCTCCATTTGCTACTAAATGCCCTTGGTACATTGTTACTAGATAAACAGACACTGGACACACTAGTAACAGCATCCAATCTGATTACCTCAGTCATTCTGCGGCTCTCCTGAGGACACTGCTCACTTATAGACTCACACTACATATCTGCTTCTAACACTCAGCTGACAAATCTATGCATTACAGAAAAAACCTATATAAAGAAATGATGTCTTCACGGACACAAACATAATCTTTATAATAAACCTCTATACCAGTTTTTGCTTTACTGAGACATACAGTAAGTTGTGTTCTTTACAAACTATAAATAGTATACTTGGATGTTGGACTGTCCCTTCATTTTTTTCTTTTAAGAAGGCAGACATGGAATGACGAATCACTTTTGTAGCTCTTTTTTCCCCCATCCCTTTCCATACATCTCTCACATGAGAAATGATTTGGTCACACTGTACTGTCGGTGCACTGTAGCTTGAACTTTGACCATTTTCTGGAGTTACAAGAGTGCATGAAAAGATGAGGGAATAGCTAAAACAAATATTTAAATATAGCACTCAAATAATGACTTATATCTGCATATCTGTTTTTAGGAGGACAATAAAACATGAACATATAGTTGACAACAATAACAGTTGTTTGACAACCAAAAAATGTAATGGATGAATGGTTTAAACATACATTTTTGTAAGAGTAAAACACTTTGTGCAGGTAACACACTTCTAGAACATGTAGTGCAGACTCCTTCAGTACACTCTTTGAAAAATAATTGGATAAATTAAGGCCATGAAAGGATATTTTGTATAATTATAAAGCTGACAGGTAATTATTATTGTACATGTTTTTATATTTGTGTAATATGCTGTTACTTGGTAGTAGTTGGGGAGGAATGGTGTGCAGGATCTATATAATGTACCAGAACATTATTGATAAATGTCAACAAATGACATATAAATGACATCCAAGCCATCCAATGTATCTAAGGGATATGATTAAGGGTTCTTGAGCCCATCTGAATGTGCTGTGTGTGTGTGTGTGAACATTGGACATAATGCAATGGAAATAAATGCTGTAGATAACAAAACAAACTGTTAAAATATAAAGAAAACAATGTTAAGTGCAGAAGATAGACAATACAAAAGACAAAGATACAGACTCACCCTCGCCCCATCAGGCCCAGTTTGACACTCTTCCCCAGCAGGTAGCAGAAGAAGGGCAGAGCGTGGTACAGCTCCATCTGTTTGTAGTTGAGAGCCAGGCAAAAAGCCACGGAGCCCAAAGCATCCCAGCCCAGACCCAGAGCCAGAACCCCCCACAGGGCAAAGCCCAGACTCACTCCATTGTACCTGATTCGGTTAACGATTATATTCTGCTAAAAATGTCTTCAATTCTATTTTTCACGTAGTTAACAATATTTAAACCCTCACTATTGTATGTGCTTTAAAGGATATAAGACAATATAACTTATATAATATACATTTGTTAATGTAATCTATTAGGATTAGGACCAAAGTCAGTGAAATACTGGCCTTCAGAGATGGTAACAGGCAAATTACAATAATGATATCAGAGTAAATAAATGGTAGAAATGCACTTGTACATAAAGGATACTGGAAATGGCCATAGTCAACAAGAATGAGGCCAGGGTATAAAAGGAAGCAGAGCAGAGTGGAAACCTGGAGAAAAGGAGCATTTATTAGTTGTAACTAAAAATGAACTACAGTCGACTGGTCATTATTATACAATACAATTCAATGTCATTTGAATCACATTACATTCATTTGCAAACTTTGTTGTGTGAAAGAGACATCTAAACAATCGTTTTTTCTTCTCAGTATTTGCTTATTCATTCTTAGAATCCTAAGGTAATAATAGCCTGTCCCATGTTGCGCTGTACAAATTGCAATGTATGCTGGGAATTGTTCTAGTGTTGATCCTGTAATGTTTGCTTAATTAAGACATAGTCAATATATTACAAAACATCCACTTTAATGGACTGTACTGGAAATGCATTTATACATTCATAACTTCCTGGAAAATATAATGGCATAATTTCTATTGCAATAATGAGCTCCTCATGCCACCATTTTTCACTGTAGCCAAAAAGGTGGCTTATTTTCGTCTTTAGTTGAAAATGATTAGATTTCATCTCATACCGGGCAAGTGTGTTACCTTTTTCTTAGAGGATCCCTCAGTCAGATACAAACAGTATAAAACCACAGCAGGGATGTATATCAACAAATCTGCCACCAGGACTGAAACAGAACATAGAACCGTGTTATTTTATAAATCTTCTTTGTAATTAAATAAACTGTTATTTTAAGGTTAAGGTTAATATGGATCAATGAAGCATTTTACTTTATTTTCTGGTAGTTACTGTACCTGTAGCTCTCATGAACAACTTGTGCGCTGGACTTTCATAACCTCTGGATTTGTGAAGCTCCACCCACTCAGGGTTTATCGTCTTAGCTCTGCAGGAAAATATATTTATAGTATAGAAATGAAGGTATTTGTAATGCTTAAATGACAGGCTGGCTTTAGAGTTACCCATGGGTACATATAATGGACAAGTAAGTAGAACATTTGTGGCATTTTATAACTGACAAAACATGGAATATCCAAATATGTTCATGAATAAACATTATAAAAATGTAAGCAGAGATGTCATGTAAACTCTCAAATAAAAACATACTTACACAAAAGCACAGATCAGGCTGTGGTAGGCAGTCAGAGGAGGGTAGTCAAGACCCCAGTAGTTCAAGTCATTCTTAGTGGTGTTGAAGTACCTGGATAAGTAAAAATGTCAGATATATTTATTCTGACAATGTGGAAGTGTCTGATGTTGCAGACAGTCTAATAGCATAATAACAAACCCCTAGTGGCTTATTTGTATTGATATGTCTCTCTATTTTGTGTATGTGTTTTGGTAATCATTCACTTATAGTAATAATTCTGAATCTAAATCTGTTTTTGGTGTTATATCCAATGTTAAATAGTATTCAAAATGAATTTATCCACAAGTATAAGGTAGACATCTGAATTGCATATAGATATGATATCCTAAGTTGCATTCACTTGTACAGCCATATAACTGTTATATACGTGCATTTTCAGCTTTAATGGGTTCACTTTTCTGGTTATCCTCTGGATTTGTATTCATCCCATACTACGGTATTGTAGGTGACTCACAGAATCTGCTCCCATCATTTAATAAACATTAGTGTTTTAAGTGCGATCACTACAATATGTCCAGTCCCTGTCAAAACCCAAAAGAGTCCCTTCTCTTGTCAGCTGCCTGAACATTGTTGGCGTTCTCAAACTTGCTCCACTGAATAAACAAACTTCAGACTGACCATTCCTGCACAGGGAGGTTGTATGTCACTTCTTGCCAGTGCCTTTGAGCCTCGTAGTCGCCAAACATGGGAGTTTTCCCCGCCCCTGGAGGAGAAAAAGCTTTTAGTCTGATGAATGGGAACCCGACTTACATCACGAACAGACAGCATTTAACCACACACAGCCAAAAGCACCACCCTGATATGTATAAAGAAAACGCAACATCCACTAAAATAATCAGCTGTGTAGCATTGAGCGCTCAGTGGTGCAGCATGTAAACGGTAAACTTCACATTTCCTACCTGAATATGAGTTTAACGAAACGCCCCATCTTACAGCAAGACCGAGCAACACACAAAGTGATACGAGACTCCACGTTTGCATAACCTCGTCCGGTTAAATTATCTTAAATAGGAGAAATAAAAGCTAAAATATCTGTCTGCTTTTGGAATATGTCTACATTTCCTGTATACGTCATCAATCAAGACTTCGTTGCGAGTTCTCATTGGGCACTGCCGGGTGACGTTGCTCTGAAAGACGTGAGGCGTTCAGGAACCCCCAGAAAAAGACGATATTATCCTTATTCGAAACATCGCTACATAACTTAAGCTAGAGTAACTTTATTAAACGAGTTTTAATTGTAGCTATGGCAGATAGATGGGTAGTTTTACTTTCCCTTCAAAATATGGTTACATCACTAGTGACTGAATTGGTATTGCTACCAATTTGATTTGAAGAGGCCAAATTCCTAGTAATGTAAATGCCACATCGGTTTAGATGAGATTTATGATGGATTGATTGATATTGTGCATTATTAAAGGTCTATTTGTCCACTCTTAACTCAATAATAACTTATACCCTGTGTTAAACTTAGAGGTCGGAATTTGAATAAGTGTCTTTTATCGAGCAGTACATAAGCATTTCCAATAATGTAATTACCAAGTAAGCAAATAACATAAAACAGGCTGTGGAACAAAATGTATAAATTATTTAATGACAATCGATTTCCCCTTTTTTCCAATCACTGATAGTACATCTCAAAATAATTATATCAGGGTCATTAAGCCAGACCATTTCTGCATGTGATTATGTATCTCACTGCTATGACTACTATGCAGACAGCAAGCCTTTGATGTTATAAAAAGTATAACCATAATTTGAGACATCTTAGAAATATAACTACATGTATGTAATCTATTTTAAACTCCATTGCAACGTACCCTGGCATGGGATCATCCTCCTCATGTGGAGCAATAGAGGATCAGTTGTCTCTTTTATAACTAGTTTGTTGTGCCCTTCTGTGTGCAGATATGTGTATAGTTATAAAATGCAAGCCTCCCTTCACAATGTAAATCTCCGCCCAGGGGTGTATTCTCCTCTGTGACCTTTCCTTCTGTTGACACCATCGTCTTTGTTCCCAAGGTGTTGGGATTTGTTGGGTGAGACATGTTCCTTGTGGTTCCTGCATCAATTATGCATAAATAATAATAACCTCGGACAACTGCTGATTTGCAATGACACTTTCATTACAAAGGCAGCAGCCTATAACTCAGGGGTACCTATTAGTTATTAATGCCTAGCCACGCCAGCTTTACTTTGTCATTTATTGCTTCATCTCTATGCCTTTTTAAATATTCAGTAACTGCTGTACCTACATTTACTGTCTGTGATCTCCGCCTTGGAGAAGGCTATAGCTTGTGGTGGAAGATGACCTAGTTATTATGGAGGCCTAGGCCTTGCTTGCCAATGCCATTGTACTCTATCATATGATAAGTCACATTTTGCTAAAGCAAGTCACACGTCTTTTCTGATGTTTTGTCACATAAGAACAATGCAACCCATAATACAAAACTCACTATTTTGTTGAAAAGAAATACACATTCACATTACAGTGACTCCAAAGGTCCGGGGGTAAGTGTGTCTGTGAAGTGTTAAGACATGGAAGTCCTGGCAGTCCTTCTTCACTACAAATATGCTCTAATTTGCATCATCAATTAATTGTTTCGAAAATTCACCAGTACACATGGTGTGCATTTACAGGAATGTAATGTCTGTCTGGGCCTTTTATAGCCTCCCTAAACTCCCTATCACAGTGTTTTGTGTCCGTCTTTTTCACTGACACTCAACATGTCCTCTCTGATGTAAAGGTCAAAGATAACACATTAATGTGGGTTATCACCAGGATGTTTACAATCCAACATTGAACATGTCAAATGGGACTGCTCGGCTTCATAATAGCTGGTCCCTCCATCTTCACACGATGTCCTCTTAAAGTTTATAGTTTTGGCATTTGACAATGCAACATCGAGTAATTTATTCTCTTCAAAACACTCACATGGTACAGTACACTTAGACAAGTGGAACTACACAGAAAAAAACTAAATTAGTTTGAAGGTTGTAGCTCTAAATGCATATCTATTTATATGCTAAGTTTAATTTGGTCCAAGGTCTTGTATAGGATTGATTTTACAAAAGCTTGGTGGATTTCTTCTGAAACAAGTGATACCTTTGATCGATGATTTGTCATGTTATTCTCTTGGATGTTGTTTTATTTCACAGTTTTAACACAGAAAATAGGGGGAAATTATCTTTTAAAAGAGTATTTTTGACATTAGAAACAAAGTAACTAGTAAAGTAAATTGATAATATCTTCTCATCCATGTTGGCTTAAAAGTTAAGACTGAAATGAATATAGTAAAATATATCTTTCTATTACAAACTCCAATTCTCTATTGGAAAATGGCTCAGTGAGACGTACAGTATCAGTAGATTAGCTGCACTTGAGTCACTCCGACATGCCACACTGCATGTGGAATAAGCATTACATACAGTAAAGTTGTAACCTTATGATTACATGGAGAAATACTTCCTCTGTGCGCGTGTTTGACTCACATCTGAACTCTTTATACCACTCCAGTGTCAAAGCCAGTGTTCAGGCAGTTCCTAAAAACGTGTGTCTGTGTGTAATTTTTTTATTGCATTACATTCCCGAAAGAAATGCTATACTTTTTTCAGGTATATTTGTATTTCCTTACAAATTATAACCTTTGTAGAGGTCATTTTTGATCATCCCCTTACTATATAAGTTAACTGAAAACAAGTGTATTCTATATATATATTTTTTGGCTCTATGTATTTTCATATCCAAAACTTTCCCAAATGTCCTTTTAACTAGTAATAAACAAAAGCTCCAAAACATTTGAACATATTTTTTCTGTAGGGTTTGAGAGAAACCCAATACCCAAGATATAGTTTTCACTGAAGTGTCCTTGGAACATTTGAACTGTAGCATGTAGTGAGTTTCTATGGATCTGTAGTTTCTAAGGTTTAGATTACGTTTCTCCCACTTGAAAATCTGATTTATATGGTGTGTAAACCACCTAAAGACACACATCATAACCATAATCCTTACTTATCTTGCACTCAAACCAATGTAACATTATCTTAACTATCTAAATGAACGTGTATTAACTGTTGATTCAACTGTGGCTCATTTACTAAAGCTCGCTCTGTATTGTTGGTTTAAAAAGTGGACAACCAAACCCACAAAGTGGACTTTATTTATGAAAGACTGTTGCTTGAGACTAATATAGCCTGTCTGCTGGAGCTGTGGGAACATAGGCCAGACTCCATACACCTGTGCACAAGGAAGTGCAGCTGCATGGGTCATTATCGAGAGGGTCAGTCTAATGTTTGTTCTGCAAAAGAGCACATTCATCAAATCGGCATTTTGTTTTGTTTGCGAAATGAATAGTGAAACACCAAAAACTGCTTTTGTTTCGATTACATTTAATAACGGGTTAATTAATAAGAGCAGACTGGTTCAATTGATTTAAACAAACACAAACTAAAGTAATGGGTAAATATTAACATAAATGCAAATATTATTTTAATATGTAGTTTTCCCCTGTATTACATTTAATATTGTAACACTGTTTCGGTTTAAGAATAATGTTGTCCAATTGAAGTCACGTGTAATCTGGTATATTTGAACGTTGTATTTTAACATCATCTGTAACTGAAACCTTATGTATCAACCTTATTAACATTAACATCTTCAGTGGCCCTACTCAAAGATAAATTACATCTGAAATCGGTCTTCACCAGGATAAAGCATTAGAGGTACTGTGATTACTGAGACGGGCAAATACAAATATTTACCAAATGTATTTCGATCATCATCATATTAAAATAATAACTAAAAGAAACAACTGAACTAGCCTATTTCAGTGTCCCTTCAATTCTGCAAATTCTTATTTAAATATGTAAGGTTTACACCATCGTAATTATTAGACAAAATAAAAATAAAAGATTTAATGGAATGTATGGGAAGGTCTATCCTTCATCTTTTCAGGTTGATGTGTCTTCCTAAATATTTCTCAGATTTTTGATACCCCTAATGAAAAGCCCTGCGTGTCAGTGAACGCCCCCTGGCGGCTGTCCTCTCCTCGCGGGGCTGGAGGTGTCAGCCTACGGCCTCGCGGTGCTCCCGGTGCAGCATCATGCAAACACACAGAGACATCACACTGCAGTTTACCGCGGGCTCTCTAACGCATGAGAGCAGGAGAGCTTGTCTTAGGAAGCTTAGTGGAGGCTGTTACTTCACACAGGAAGCAAATTAAGCAGAGACAGTATTTAAATGACAATTATAAACGTGATAATCAAGTTTTATTTTTTATTTACTTTGGTAAATTGTTGGGGGGATTTATTTTTCAAATACTTCCCAAAAAAGACCAAATTCCACATTGCTTTCTATACACCTTTTAATCTGAATTATATTCTGCACACTGAGACCCCTGTGCCTGGACGTCATGTTCATGTCTCCTTAAACTGTATGAGTGTTGATATTTAATACCTCCTTGATTTAAAATTTGGGAAAACATGGTAATGGCTAAGATGATTTTTATATCTGTATTTCGTTTTATTTATGTGTCAAACGAGTTTGGTTTTGCATTAAAACGAATTATGTCATACAATAAATACTTCAGGCTACTATATGCTTCTGTTGATAATAGAATGAGGGCAATAATAATAGCCCAGTAATAATGAGAATGAATGAAAGAAATGCCATGGTGACATTGGAGCAGCCTTTTGCATCATCAGCACCTTCTTCGGTGTCTGAAAGTGAATTGAAGCAGAGAGGCTCCTTTCTCTTTCTCATGGGGATCAGATAAATATAGCGCCTGTGACCCCCCTCCCCTCAAACACACACGTACACACACGCACCAACCCGATCACCATTTGCTGTTTGTGTAAAAGTGATTAGCCAGACACAACTGCGAAGCTGTTACCTTTATAGAAGCCAAGCCGCAGAATATCCTGTAAAACGACACTAGCAGTGATGTAATGGTGGATTAAAGCCTGACCTCCAGTCAGAGATCATTACTAAGAAAACAACCGTAAATATATATATTTAAAACAATTAGGTTGTCTTATTATTCGGGCCTATAAGTGTATATATT